CCCCAAAACCCCAAAACCCCAAAACCCCAAAACCCCAAAACCCCGCAGTCATGAAATAGAGAACAATTGAGGAATGCGATTGATAGCAAAAATTTTAATAAAAAGGTAGAACTATATCTAGTAGAATCATCATTGTTTCTTATGTTGAGTCTTTTGATAATCGTAGGAAGCTTCTCTTCTGAGATCGTGAGTTTCAATTGTATATTCTAAATCGTATTGAGAGTCAGTTTTTCTTTGGTCCATTGGGACATAGTCTCTCTTGGTGTAACCCTTGTAGATTTGTCTTGGTCTAACGATGTTGTTGACTGGGTCGTCAAGGAATTCGTACCAATGAGCTAGCCATCCAGCAATTCTTGGAAGAGTAAAGAGGACAGTGAAGAACTCAGTTGGGATTCCTAGTGCCTTGTAGATGACTCCTGAGTAGAAGTCAACGTTGGGGTAGAGCTTTCTCTTAATGAAATACTCATCACTGAGAGCGATTCTCTCAAGTTCCATAGCAATTTCAATCATTGGCTCCTTTCCAACAATGGAGAATACCTCCTCAGCAGTTCTCTTCACAATAACTGCTCTTGGATCGTAATTCTTGTAAACTCTGTGACCGAATCCCATCAATAACTTCTTTCTGTCCTTTACATCTTGGATAAATTAAGGAATCTTATCTTTTGATCCAATTTACTCGAGCATTCTGAGGACAGCCTCGTTGGCACCTCCATGTCTTGGACCGTAGAGAGCGGTAATGGCACCAGCTAATGAAGTATAGATGTCTGATTAACTTGATGACATATGTCTGATGGCAGCAGTGGAGCAGTTGAGTTCGTGTTCAGCATGTAATATGAATAAGATCTCGAGAGCTTTAGTAATGCTTGGGTGTGGCTTATAGTCAGTATCAGTGACGTGTTTGTCCATCATGAATAAGAAGTTTTCAACATATCCAAGATTTTCATTTGGCTTGTTAAGTGGAAGACCTAATTTGTGTCTGTAGCAAGCAGCAGCAATAGCTGGGGCACTTCCGAGAATTCTGTAAATGTGCTTGTTTCTTTCCTTCTTGTCTTTGTAGATGTTTGCACCAACGTAGGCTGGGTTAGCCTCTGGGTAGAAGGTTGACATTGCTGCCATAAGTGTTGACATCATACCCATTGGATGAGAGTCGTGTCTGAAGGCACTTATGAATTTTTCAAGACCATCGTGGTAACTTGAATGCGTCATCACTCTGTAAAATGAGTTAATATTCAATATCTAAATATGCATACTTCTTTGTGAAAGTTTTCAGTTGTTTTGGATTTGGGAGTTCTCCAAAGATAACTAAGAAAGCAGTCTCAAGGAAACTTGATTTCTCAGCCAGTTGAGCAATTGGGATACCTCTGTATTCAAGAATACCCTTATCTCCGTCAATGTAAGAAATCTTTGAAATCTGCAATAAGGATTAGCAAGGGGTAATTGGAATATCTTACGCAGGCAACTGTGTTCATGTAGGCTGGATCATATGATCTAGTAACTTCTCCTTGAGCATCCTTAATCTTGCCAAGATCAGTGGCGTTAATTGCTCCATCCTTAATGGGAAGCTCATAAGTCTTTCCTATTTTTACAATTATATAATGCATTGGATTTCATACCAGTTCTGTTGTCAACAACTGAAAGAGAATCTTTCTTAGCAGCTGGAGTTTCTTAAGCAGCTGTGGCAGCAGGTTAGAATTGTCTGTCAAAGATTGATAGTTTTTGCATTAGTGGCTAACTTTTATAGAAAAAGATTATATTGATCTTTTAAATTTTTAATTTCAATGATGTCACTACTAATTTGATTGTTAGATCAATAATTAACTTACGTAAACAAATCAACCCTTTTTAAAAAACAACTACTAATGGGGTTTTGGGGTTTTGGGGTTTTGGGGTTTTGGGG